ATTACGCCTATGGAGAGTCCCCACAATTCACAAAAACAAACCTGTGTGTGCATTAATGTGTGTGTGTGTGTGTGTGTTTGTGTGTGTATTAATGTGTGTGTGTGTGTGTGTGTGTGTGTGGCAGAACATCGTGGCGGTGGGTGCAGGTTTCTGTGACGGTCTGGGTTTCGGTGACAACACTAAAGCTGCTGTGATCCGGCTGGGGCTGATGGAGATGGTGGCCTTCTCCAAACTCTTCTGCAAGAGCGCCGTCAACTCCGCCACCTTCCTGGAGAGCTGCGGCGTGGCCGACCTCATCACCACCTGCTACGGAGGACGCAACCGCCGCGTGGCCGAGGCCTTCGCCCGCTCGCAGAAGGTCCGGCTCAAATACACTGATGATCACATGACGCTCAGCATTTCAGAGATCAGCGTGATGGGTTTATTTTATACTGTGATGCACGGCAAACATGTATTTACCATCACTGTACAGTTTAATGTGTGCATCATCTGTTATTAACCTTCATACTCATAAGACATCGCCTGTCAAAGTAACCCAGAGCATTATGATTGCACATCTTCTTTTTTTGTCCAGATATCTTATATCATTTAATTCTAATAAAATCGAAACATTATTATTTATGCAGTTTTTGTGAAGATTTGTTAAAAACTATTTTATCTACGTCTAAACTACTAGTTTTAACCAATAAAATTATCACATATATATATATATATATATACAGTGGGTACGACAAAAACAAACATGTGTGTGTGTGTGTGTGTATTAATGTCTGTGTGTGTGTGTGTGTGTATTAATGTCTGTGTGTGTGTGTGTGCAGGTTTCCTCTGTTCGTCTCCGTGTATCAGATCTGTTTTGAGGGCCGGCAGGTGCAGGACTTCATCAGCTGCCTTCAGAACCATCCAGAACACATGTGAGCGACCCGAACCGAACCGAAGCCAAGCGATCAGAAACACACACACTAACATTAGCCTGAATCTACTGAGCTTCACTCACACCTCACCTATGACGAGAAGGGAATTATGAGTCTTCTTAAGTCCAGAATGATGAGAGTATTTGTGTCATTTCTGACTCAGGACTGTAACGCTGGTAAACGCACAGTGCAGCATTTTATATTTGGAGTTTTGATCATAACTGTCTTATAGAGAATGTAATACTTTATAACACAATCAATAAAAGCCATGCTGCTTATTTGAATCTTTTAATCGAACTTTGAGCTTCATTTATTCTTACAACAGTGAACAGAAACATAAAATAACACTTGTTTTTCTTCATGAGCCACATTAAACAATCTCTGATTTCAGTGTTTAAATGAAAGACACACATTTTTTAATAAAAATTTGAATATTATAATAAAATAATTATTAATATTATATAAAATATTATTTATATTTATACAAATATGAACATTATAAGAAAAATAACCAATAACATAAAAATTATAAATCTGATATGAAATATTATATTTATAAAAACATGCATATTATAGCTACTTTACCGTTTTCCTTTCTCACATAAAATGAATGAATCTCTGATTTCAGTGTTTAAATGGCTTAAAGGTATAAATTTTTTATGAGTTATTACTAGTTTTTACCAATAAGTTTAATATAAAATAAGCACAGTTTCATGCATGGTGACACTTCTTTATCATTTTCTCTTAATTTCATTTAATTCTAATAATCTATATATTTTAATTAAATTCTAATAATAGTAATATTAAAATTGGCCCATATATATATATATATATATAATTTTAATCAACCTTGGAGTTTCATTTATAACACAAAATAAGACTTAATTTTACCAATAAGATATAAAATAAGCACAGTTTCATGCATGGTGACACTTCTTTATCATTTTCTCTTAATTTCATTTAATTCTAATAATCTATATATTTTAATTAAATTCTAATAATAGTAATATTAAAATTGGCCCATATATATATATATATATAATTTTAATCAACCTTGGAGTTTCATTTATAACACAAAATAAGACTTAATTTTCCTCATGAGTCGCATAAAATAATCAATCTCTAATTTCAGTGTTACAGCTAATTTAAGACATAACACATTATTATGATTTAATAATTTTTTTATGATTTAATAAAGTGTTTTTTTTATTTTACATTTTAATATTTAATTTATTTTTGGTGTTTTGTTTTGAAAAAGAAAAAAAAATACAACGGATCTCTAATTTCAATGTTTAAATTAATTATATAAACATCATTGACATTTTTGTCCAGTCAAGCACTCTTTAGATTGAGAATACTCCTCCCCCTAAATTATAAATATTAAAGCAGTATCAACTTTATTTCCAATTTACTTCCACTAATGTTCTTTGCTTTTGTCATGAGTTTGGTTTTTCAGGGCTGTTACAGAAACTAAAGACTTTCAGAAAATCAATATGTATTAAATAAGATATATTCCGCTCCAGTGTCTCAGACAGGAAGCTCAGATGCGGTCGGATGAGATGGTGGGGTAAATGGAAAAGCTGGATATTCCACACATGTTTTTATTTCGTGCCATGCGGATGAAGCCGTTTTCACCCCACGCCGTTCCCCAGCTGAGACACAGAGAGACAGAATTATTGACCTAAAATCATAATTTCACATTTTCAACATTAGAGGTCATTAGAGCTCACACTAAAATACAGCGACTTAACAGCTACTGAAGTTTTTTTTTACAGCAACATTATTATATAAATATAAACTAGTATATTTATAAAAATTATGAATATTATAATACAATAATTAATAATAATATTTATAAAAAAAAGATAAATATATTACATTTATATTTATACAAATATGAATATTATAATTAAATAATTATTCATAATAATGATTCGTAATAATGGTAAAATAATTATAATATTAAAATAACCTTTTAAAACCTGACAAAATGCCTGTTCTAAAGTCATAACTGTCACATAGTATTTTTTTTATCAAGTGAAAATCAACCTGTTTTTCACCAGCCAGTAATCTTGTCCATTTTCTGAGCCGTAACCCACAACTAGAACCGCATGATTGATCAGTCCAGAGCTGCACTTCGGATCGCTGTAGATTCCTGAACACACATATGTATCATTTGGGAGAACTGAAAGCAGATAGACAGGTGTGTGTGATGTATTATATATGTCTCACCGCTTCTGTACCTGTGGAAGGAAGCAAGTTTGGCGTTGACACCGACGGACACAGGTCCAATGTTAGCAAGGGCATACTGCAGCGCTGCCTCATTGTAACGCGGAAGAATCCGGAAACCTGAGCAATATCCGACTCTTCCCGTCACAGAGTATCGACAGGCACCTTGCTGCAAACATCACCACAACATCACAACAACATTACAACATCACAACATTACAACGATATAACAACATTGTCACTACAACGCCACTGTCACAACAATGTCACTACAACGCCACGTCACTACAACGCCACTGTCACAACAATGTCAGTACAATGCCCTGTCAGTACAACGCCACTGTCACTACAATGTCAGTACAACGCCATGTCAGTACAATGCCACTGTCACTACAATGCCACGTCACTACAACACCACGTCACTACAACACCACTATCACAACAAAGTCACTACAACGCCACGTCACTACAACGCCACTGTCACAACAACGTCAGTACAACGCCACTGTCACTACAACGTCACTACAACGCCACTGTCACAACAATGTCAGTACAACGCCACTGTCACTACAATGTCACTACAACGCCACTGTCACAACAATGTCATTACAATGCCACGTCACTACAATGCCACTGTCACAACAATGTCAGTACAACGCCATGTCAGACAACGCCACTGTCACTACAATGCCACGTCACTACAACGCCACATCACTACAACGTCACTACAATGCCACTGTCACAACAATGTCACTACAATGCCACGTCACTACAATGCCACTACAGCCACGTCACTACGCCACTACAACGCCACTGTCACAACAATGTCACTACAACGCCACTACAATGCCACTGTCGCAACAATGTCACTACAACGCCACGTCACTACAACGCCACTACAATGTCACTACAATGCCATGTCCACGTCACTACAACGCCACTGTCACAACAATGTCAGTACAACGCCATGTCAGACAACGCCACTGTCACTACAATGCCACGTCACTACAACGCCACATCACTACAACGTCACTACAATGCCACTGTCACAACAATGTCACTACAATGCCACGTCACTACAATGCCACTACAACGTCACTACAACGCCCCTACAACGCCACTGTCACAACAATGTCACTACAACGCCACGTCACTACGCCACTACAACGCCACTGTCACAACAATGTCACTACAACGCCACGTCACTACAACGCCACTACAATGTCACTACAATGCCATGTCACTACAATGCCACGTCACTACAACGCCACGTCACTACAACAATACAATACAACAACATTACAACATCACAACATTACAACGACATAAAAACAATGTCACTACAATGCCACGTCACTACAACGCCACTGTCACAAGTCACTACAACGCCACGTCACTACAACGCCACTACAAAGCCACTGTCACAACAATGTCCCTACAACGCCACTACAACGCCACTGTCACTACAACGCCACTACAATGTCACTACAACGCCACTGTCACAACAATGTCACTACAACGCCACGTCACTACAACGCCACTGTCACAACAATGTCACTACAACGCCACGTCACTACAACGCCACTGTCACAACAATGTCACTACAACGCCACGTCACTACAACGCCACTGTCACAACAATGTCACTACAACGCCACGTCACTACAACGCCACTGTCACAACAATGTCAGTACAACGCCACTGTCACTACAATGTCACTACAACGCCACTGTCACAACAAGGTATATTTATTCAATGTGATCCACCAGCCGAATAAAAAACAAAGCCTTCAAGCAAAAGTCACTCTCCTCATGTCAATTTCAACAGCTAAATGACAACGAATGGTTCCGCTTTTGAGATGAATCGCTTTGTTTTCCATCAACGAAAGCCATGAATAGATAAGTTCGAGGAAAAGTGAGCGAGTTCAAGAGTTTAGGAAATTACAGCTCAGGGCTGTCTCATAACGTGTGGATTTAGTGGAAGCCTGAGTCGATCGGGCCCCTGTGCTCAGGAATAAAAAGTTCTATCTTGATGAGGACAATCAATCATGCTGATGTTAAGTGTTTTTGCTGCCGCTGAGACAACGGAAACTAATTGTTTAACGGATCATTCCGTGCATCATCTGGGAGCCGCTGTGACCTGCATTACAAACCCTGCGCATTTGCCAACAATTAAACTTCTACCTAGAATATCTACCTCTCTGATCTCTTTGATCTTCGAGCCTCCTTTGCCAATGAGTGAACCGCACTGACTGGCGGGGAAGACGAGGCGCACTGTCACAGGAGGCCTGCTTGTCACGGTGCTGTTTATCATAGATGCCAGGATATCCTGAAAGAGATGCATATGCATCAGAAAGAAGCTCAATTCAGCTCGTGTCAAGTCAGTGTCATTTTTTCATAAAAACAAGTTTATAAGGGAGAAAAACTTGCAGGAATACAAGTTGACAGTTTTTTTAAATGAAATAAAATACTGACTAGGTAATGCTGTGTTATATAAAAATGTAAAAAAAAAAATTTATATATATATTTATATATAAATTATATATTTTCTTTTTAATATTACACACCACAGCAAATTACCTAGTGTGTATTTAGCCAAAGAAAACTATGATACTGTGTATATATATATATATATATAATTTTAATCAACCTTGGAGTTTCATTTATAACACAAAATAAGACTTAATTTTCCTCATGAGTCGCATAAAATAATCAATCTCTAATTTCAGTGTTACAGCTAATTTAAGACATAACACATTATTATGATTTAATAATTTTTTTATGATTTAATAAAGTGTTTTTTTTATTTTACATTTTAATATTTAATTTATTTTTGGTGTTTTGTTTTGAAAAAGAAAAAAAAATACAACGGATCTCTAATTTCAATGTTTAAATTAATTATATAAACATCATTGACATTTTTGTCCAGTCAAGCACTCTTTAGATTGAGAATACTCCTCCCCCTAAATTATAAATATTAAAGCAGTATCAACTTTATTTCCAATTTACTTCCACTAATGTTCTTTGCTTTTGTCATGAGTTTGGTTTTTCAGGGCTGTTACAGAAACTAAAGACTTTCAGAAAATCAATATGTATTAAATAAGATATATTCCGCTCCAGTGTCTCAGACAGGAAGCTCAGATGCGGTCGGATGAGATGGTGGGGTAAATGGAAAAGCTGGATATTCCACACATGTTTTTATTTCGTGCCATGCGGATGAAGCCGTTTTCACCCCACGCCGTTCCCCAGCTGAGACACAGAGAGACAGAATTATTGACCTAAAATCATAATTTCACATTTTCAACATTAGAGGTCATTAGAGCTCACACTAAAATACAGCGACTTAACAGCTACTGAAGTTTTTTTTTACAGCAACATTATTATATAAATATAAACTAGTATATTTATAAAAATTATGAATATTATAATACAATAATTAATAATAATATTTATAAAAAAAAGATAAATATATTACATTTATATTTATACAAATATGAATATTATAATTAAATAATTATTCATAATAATGATTCGTAATAATGGTAAAATAATTATAATATTAAAATAACCTTTTAAAACCTGACAAAATGCCTGTTCTAAAGTCATAACTGTCACATAGTATTTTTTTTATCAAGTGAAAATCAACCTGTTTTTCACCAGCCAGTAATCTTGTCCATTTTCTGAGCCGTAACCCACAACTAGAACCGCATGATTGATCAGTCCAGAGCTGCACTTCGGATCGCTGTAGATTCCTGAACACACATATGTATCATTTGGGAGAACTGAAAGCAGATAGACAGGTGTGTGTGATGTATTATATATGTCTCACCGCTTCTGTACCTGTGGAAGGAAGCAAGTTTGGCGTTGACACCGACGGACACAGGTCCAATGTTAGCAAGGGCATACTGCAGCGCTGCCTCATTGTAACGCGGAAGAATCCGGAAACCTGAGCAATATCCGACTCTTCCCGTCACAGAGTATCGACAGGCACCTTGCTGCAAACATCACCACAACATCACAACAACATTACAACATCACAACATTACAACGATATAACAACATTGTCACTACAACGCCACTGTCACAACAATGTCACTACAATGCCACGTCACTACAACGCCACGTCACTACAACAATACAATACAACAACATTACAACATCACAACATTACAACGACATAAAAACAATGTCACTACAATGCCACGTCACTACAACGCCACTACAATGTCACTACAATGCCATGTCACTACAATGCCACATCACTACAACGCCACTACAATGTCACTACAACGCCACTGTCACAACAATGTCACTACAACATTATTTATTTTAATTTGACATTTAGTTTATTAATGATTATTTATGATTGATTATTTTTAGTGAATTTTTATTTTGATTGTTTTTCTTTAAGAAGTATTTATTTCAATTTTACATTTTTATGATTTAATTGTTTTTAGTACGTTTTTTATTTTTAAATTATATATTTTAATTTTACATTTTTAATATTTAATTTTTTAGTGTGTTGTATTTTCACTGTTTTGATTTAGTTGATTTTTACTAAGAGTATTATGTAGATGTTTTTTATTTATTTAATATTTGTTAAATTTAATTGATTTACTTATTTTCTTGGTAAGTGTTTTATTCTAAAATGATTTACTTTTGTAGTGAAGCTGAAGGCTCGTTGGGTGTTGTGTTAACGTTCTGCAGTACCTTGTGTTCATACGGGTAGAAGGTGTTAGAGTCGATGCCGTTGTTCTGGATGATGTAGAGAAAGGCTCGGCTCAGATATCCTCCTCTGCGTACTCACACTGCAGTCCAGCAGGTTCAGCGGACTCAAGGGGACCAGAGAACCTGTTCTCCTCTTCATCTGACCCTCCAGAGCACCGACGGCACTAAACGCCCAGCACGAGCCACACGGGCCCTGAAACTACACACACACATGCGCACACACACACGCACACACACACACACACACGCACGCACGAGCGGCTCAGACTCTTGCAGTGGTTTCTATCTCAGGGATTTACTCTCTTCTGCTTAGTGAGTTTCTATGATCCAGTAATTGAGTGTGTTTGGTTCCCGCTCGACTTCTGCCTCGTTCTGCTCTCCTCCATCTCTCACACATTAGCCATTACATCTGAGGCATTAAGTCCTGTTTGATTCGTTTCGTACTGGATCAT